AACGAATGCTGCAAAGCCAGACTTCCTTCCACTGTCATGGGCTTGGAGTTTACGCTCTCGCAACTCGCCAGACGAGGGGTTCGGGTTGATAAGTCGCGTCTTTTACCCTACACAAACCCAACGGATCCCAGGAGATACTTCCGATCCAAGTAGGGTTTAGGGCTTGCTGGACTGCCTCGTGGTCCAAGTCTTTCCCTCTGCCCTGGAGTCCTTGCGGAAGTCGAAGCGCCCCTTTTCCTGGCTCTGCCGGAGTTCTCGTCCGGGCCAAGCCCAGCTGCTTCGGAGCTTGGAAGCATCGGTGACGATTTTTTGGGGCGGTTTATTCTTTTCTTTTTTTTCTTTGGGGGGGGGGGGGNNGTTCTGTTCACGCCCAGGGCTTCAAGGGAGGTTAGGGAGCTTCCCGCAACCTGAGTTTTCGAACCAAAGAAGCATGCGGGACTAGGGGCGCTCGGACTTCGCCCAGGCGAGAGCGAGGAAGAATGACAACGAGACAGCTGCGGCCACACATCCGATGAGATAGTAAGTGTACGTGTCGACGCGAACGGCGAGCTGGCCATAGACGGAGTGCATGACACCAAGAATCACAAATAGAATCCCCATCCAGAAGCCCATTTCTTGCTTTCCGAAGATCATGCAGATCGCCGAAGCAAAGAGGGAGAACATACCACCAAATGAAAACCCGATGAGGTAGGTGGCCATTTTCCAGCTCTCGCTGTACATGAGCACCAGGAAGCCCATGATGGAGAAAGTTATTGAGGAGCACAAAGACAAGTACAGCCCTGCCTCTCCAAAGCCGCACTTCCCCCGCAGCATATCTGCTCCAAAGCCATGGGCAAAGCGGCTTGCCATGCCACAGATACCGTTCCAAAGGATCACAGTCGCTCTTTCCTGCGGGGTCGCTGGTGGATGCACCCTTTTTGACGCAGCGGCGAGGCCGCCGGTGAGGTAGGTGTAGGTAAAGGCCATTGACAAAGCAACAAAGCAGAACATCGCAACGGCAGCGGGCTCCTTGAGCTTCTGCCTGCGTGAGGCTCCCAGGGACCTCCCTGCCGCCTTTGCCGCTGGCAGCAGCGGCACAAGGCAGAGGCCCAGCACCGTCGCAACCGCGTAGATGATGGCGAGGAACAAGAAGAAGTGTGCGACGGGTTTCAGGTTGGCCAAGAGCCGTGTCGTGGGATTGAAGTTTTCATCATCAGGTGCTGGCATGAAAACGCTTTGCCAAGCCAAGGGCAACAAAATGTAGCCGAGTGAGACCGAAATGGCCAAGAGTGCAGCCACAGAGCCCGTGTATTGCGGAGGCAGGGCACGCAACGCTGCACAGGTGCCTGCCAAGTACATGCACCGGCAGCCATGGCTTAGCATCGCAAAAGCCAGGGAAAGGGTGAGTGAAGTCGGGTCGTCCTTGGCTCCGCCGTCTTGAAGCGTAGCAAACCACAGCAAGGCGCCACAGCATGAGAAGATTCCACCGTAACAAAGTGTGGTCACGTAGCCAAAGCGATCATAGATAATTCCCGGGACGAAGCCCAAGACCATTCCTCCGACGAGCGCGCTGCTCACGATGGCCTGGCTCTCTGAAGGTGAAAGCTCAAGATTTGACGCCAAACTTGGCTTGAAGAGGTTGTAGGTCATGGCTGGAACACTGAAAAGCACCAGCGAGCAGCAAACCAGCAGAACTAGTATGTCTTTGCCGCCCAGCCGATCCTCCGTCCGTTGCTCCTCCTGTTCCACCTCGAGAGGGACCACTTCTGAGCCATGCTGTTCCTCCATGACATGCCAACAGCCCCTAAACCCTCTCAAAGCAAACCAAGGCTTCTTGAACCTCTGCCAGCAGTTTCGGGCATGATGACTTTGGTCACCTAAAGCAATTCAAAGACGCAGAGTTCATCAAAGAGGCCAGGGCTTTCCATGTTCCTATACTCCATCAGGTCAGCGAAATTCGAAAAGACATCGTTACCCAGCACCCTTAAGTACGTACCCCCAAAGTTCAAGCAAGGTGTCATCATACTGGAATCATACTCCTTGCGAGAGTTCAATGGCTTCATGTCCTTTTCTTTGATGCCACAGGTTTGCCTAAAGGTGACATTCACGGTGATGATGTTGTCTGTCTGCCTCAGTGGCTTCACGATGCCCATTCTCTCCTTGCGCGCTTCATCCCCTCACATTGTGACAATCAACCAAGCCCCTTCCCTTCGTAGGTCGGCCACGCCCCTATTCCACCACTCTTTCACGTAGTCATGCACAACTTTGGGTGGGTCATCCACCGCGCATTCATTCTTCTGGGCGGTCTGACAAAGGTTCTGCTGGGTCTTCTGACAAAGGGTCTTCTTCGGCCGCTTCTTCAGCACAGGCACCATAGGTGCAACCGTCTTCATCGTCATTGTCGTCGTCGTCATCATCGTCATCATTGTCGTCTGGGTCGTCACAAAAGGGTGCCCTTGTCTTCTCCTTGTTGATCTTACGCCCTTTGTCGTTTGCATAGCCAACAACCCAAGAAGCGGTGCTTTCCTTCAGCGCCGTGCCCCACAGATGTCGTTTCGCTGGAGCTTGCCATGGTTGGGGGGGTGCCAACATACACCTCATCTCCTTAAAGCTATGCTGCCAAAGCCAAAACTTGAAACAAGTTTTGCTCAAGGTGCAGTCAAACGCCGCAGCAGCTGACGGCAAGGCGCTTGCGAGCTCACGTGCAATCAGAAACGAAGCATGTCAAAGGTGCCTTCTGGATGTTGAAGAGCTCGCCCACGAAAAATCGGAAGAGATTGACGCTCCAGTTCAGGGATAGGACTTTGGTTAAGGGCTTCGGTTTTGCTAGGTGAGGTGGGGTTCGGCTTATTGAGGATTTAGTACAGTAGGGCTTGGTTGTCAGGATTCGGTATAGGTTTATGGGACGAATGCTTTGTAGGCTTCTGGGATGGTTGTTGTTATGTTGTTTTTGTATAGGATGTTGGCTAGGGTTTTCGAATAGTTTGTAGGTGTTCGTGTTTCTGGATTGTTCGATAGATTTTGGCTAGGATGTTTGTGAAGGTCTCAGGGCGAGCGGCGTTTAGGTCTTTGGATAGTTTTTTGTTTAAGGTTGGGCGGGTATAGGATATGTTGGGAAGATTCATGTTAAGGTCTTCAGGATGGGCGGTATGTAGGATATGTTGGGAAGGTCTTTATTGAGGTCTTTAGGTTGGGTAAGATGGTGGGACGGTCGTCCGCGAAATGGGGCATCACGCCTGCTAGCCGTCAGTCCCCCTTCATTACACAAACGTTCACAAGACCAATTCCCACGCAGTTCTCGAACCACAGGTCGGCTCTCGCTAGGTGGATGCAGTTTCAAACCTGCTTGCATCGAAGAAGCAGTCTTGGGGGTGCAGAGCAGCGCTTACGGGCGGTTACCGCTGATGGGCGGAAATGACTGGTATCCAAATCACCACAGTCCCTGTTTCCAAGGACCACTCATCCCTGAAGGCTTGTCTAGGGACGACTCTCAGCTTTATGGGCTCATAGATTCGTGAGGATGCGCGGCAAGATGAATTGGTCTGTGCTTCAACCTTCTGACCCCAACCCCAAGCCACTCAGCTCGGAACCGCATTTGCGTTGAAGGGCGCCTGGAACATGGCCTGTTGCGTTCCCGACTCCTCGGCTCGGCACAAAGGCGTGAAACGGAGACACCCTTGGTGTCTCCTGGAGTGCTTTCCACGTTGCTCGAGGCATGAGGCATTTTGCAGGCCGACGTGAGCTACAACGAGCACAACGAGCATGTCGGGGGCTTTCTGTTCACTAGCATACTGTCTATCCGCCCATCTAACTTTAAAGGCTGCACTCTCAACGGGTCTATCTACCAAGAAACAGAGCCAGTTCATTGCGCTTCCTCTACTTCACCTGGGGGATCCTGAGGGCAAGCGGAGATGAGGAAGCAAGCCCTGCTTGGAGATGGTCAGGAGACTTCGTAAATTGGTTCTACCCGGGTTTCACGATCCTCAAGCGGGGTTGTACTTGGTGCCCCCGGCATCACAACCCGCGACGATTGCAACCATACGTTTCCTTTTTGTACCTGCGGCAGACCTTGCGAGCTGGTCAACCACTTGCCTGCTGCGTGATGCTGCTTGCCTGCACTGTACACTGTGCACACGGCCCCTGAAAGGGAAGGCCTTCGCGAGCAAGGCATCAGGCATTGACCGTCCCAGCAGGAAATCACAGGGCAGACAAGCCGTGGTAAATCGTCCAAACCATCGTTGCCCCTGTCCCTGGCTGTCGCGTGACGCCACACAGCACAGTCGTGGTGTGGTCCGAGAGTGCGAGCCCGGCGTGTTCAATCTGAACCGTCCTTGGCAACAATCAGTCCGAGGAGAAGGCTTCAATACGCCAGGTGAAGTTGTAATGACAGATAGCATTTAAACCTAACGCAACATGTGAAACATACAGCAATTGCATACAGCTGTGTTGCCGTTTGCCCAGACGCACGTATGCATGTCTGTCTGCATCTGCTATGCAAATCCTACATAACCACATGCAAACAGTCAGCTCAACAACTAACTTCAACTCAAACCATTGTCGAAGCTTGAGCCCTGGGCAGCGGAGCCCCACCTGGGGAAGTTCCACTGAAACACTCCGACCAACCTGCTATAAACTCCACCCTGGCCCTGCTGCAACCGAACTCCGATTCATCCACCATACATGTGCCGACTGCCCTGAGCTGTAAAACCCCAAGAAGCCAGAAATAAAAAGCCCAGGCTTCAGCGTCAAGGTGATGCCGTTCTGCTCCTGAGGTGCGGGGCCAGGGGATGCTTGTATGCATATGTAGCGAGCATGTAATATGAATGAATGTATGTATGCATGCTTGTATGTATGTGTGTATGCATGTATGCGTGTGGGTAGTTCTCTAAATTGGGTCCCTTTTTTGGGTCCCCAATATAGTACGGCAACCTTGTAAAATCGACTCTAAAAGGGATCCTATTTTAGAAAACTACCCGTGTATGTATGCACGTATGTATGTCTATGTGTGTATGGCAAACATATATATATATATATGCGCACATTGCACATTCTATACTATGGGTCATATTAAAGGCTATATATAAACATCATATATATATATATATATATGTGTGTGTGTGTGTATATATATATATACATACACATATATATATATACACACACATACACACACACATATATGCGTACATATGTATGTGTATATACATATATACACACATACAAATATATGCATATATATATATATATGTACATACCCGCATACATACATACATACATATATACATACATACGTACGTACGTACGTACATACGTACATACGTACAGACATACATACCTACATACATAAATACATAC